GTGGCTGCACGTGGCCTTGACATCTCCAACGTAAAACACGTCATCAACTTTGACTTGCCCAGTGACATTGAGGAGTACGTCCATCGCATTGGTCGTACAGGCCGCGTGGGAAATCTTGGTGAGTTTTGCTGTCATTTTTCATTGTTTTGCATGCAAACAGATCTGTTTGATTGATCAACATGTGTCTTCAGGGCTGGCCACATCCTTCTACAATGATAAGAACAGCAACATCACTAAAGATTTGCTAGACATCCTGGTGGAGGCCAAACAGGAGGTTCCTTCCTGGCTTGAGAACCTCGCCTACGAGCACCAGCACAAAAGCACCAACCGTGGACGTCCCAAAAGGTACAGAAACATCAATGGTCTCAAGATGTCCCTATTGGAGTTATGTATTTTCCAGGCTCATAACATGTTGTTCATTTTCTGCAGGTTTTCTGGTGGTTTTGGGGCCAGAGATTACCGCCAGATGCCTGGGGGAGGCAACACTTTTGGCAACCGTGGTGCTCGCAACACTGGCGGCCATGGAGGAAACAGAGGTTTTGGAGGCAATAAGGGTTAGTTCCGCTTGAAACCTCATTTTATTATTTATCTCATGGTAACACTTTTTGTTAACAGTTATTTAGGTAGGGTTTATGGATGAATTTGGAGCAAATCTAACACTATTTGAATGATTTATTGTTAGTACCCTTTTTATCAAGTTTTGTTAAAGTGTGGGGAAAAGGCCAGTACAGAAATTAGCATGCCACTTTCGATTAGCATCAATCCAAATGTGTTGAATGTGTTTAAGTTGCTTTGAAATGATTCATATGAAATGACTTTAATACAATTTAAATATAATACTGGTCAATCTTTGTTTATTGGAGTTAAATTTAATCAAGTGTTCTGGTGTGATTGGAAATGGTTTGAGTAACTGTATTGCTGAAAGCAGTTCTGATTTTATTGTCTGTTGTAGGTGGCTTTGGGAGTTTCGGTGGTGACAGCTATGGGGGCACCTATGGAAACTATGGAGGAAACTACACTCAGGTGGACTGGTGGGGCAACTAAAAATACGTTTGCCAAACTAGAGGAACGGAAACCACATGTTATCATAGCCAGACTCTACCCCCTGTGTAGCTTTATGAACTCGGTACATTACACGCTGTGATTCTCTGCCCACATTCTAAAGGGAGCTGATCTGTGGCAAAACCGGAGCAGAAAACCAAGAATGCCCACTTGTGTATTTGATCTCTACAGCACCTAGGTTTTTGACTTTTTTCTTTGTTAAAAAAAAAAAGAGGATCATTTGTATGTGAATGTACTGTGCCTTTTTGAATATAGACAGGAATTTAGTTTTGTTATTTTCATCGAGTGAACTTGGCCAAGAGCTTAATTTAGTTTTTTATTTTTCTTTCTGTAAAGGCGTTTGAAAGCTTGTACTTAATCAAACCTTGGCAAATACTGGAATAACGTGACTCGATGCGAGTCGCTGTTCCATTTGAACTTCAAATTATCACTGATATCATGAAGCCAACAATACAAGCCATGAAGTAAAACACTTATCACAGGTGCTTTGCAGACGTCTGTGAAGCAACTGTGTCACAAGGGACAAATCGGTCTGACTTTTGTTTTGCTCACTCTATCCTGGAGAGACACCTATTTTGGGATACGGTTGTCTTGAAAAGGCCATTCCAGTTGTGAAGATATTCACAACAAATATTGGAAACACTCAGTGTTTGAAAATTCAAAATGCTGGAACTTCTTACTCCACTAGTTTTAATTGACTTGACAGTGTTATGGCAGCTAGTAAGAACCACGTGCTAGCCACTGTAAGTGGGCAGCATTTTTTGTTAAGAACTACTACTTTTCTTTCTGGAAACGATGACTACATTTTAGAGAAGCAGATGCGATTTATTGAAAAACTTTGAGGTTTTTTGATAAAGTGTTTCTTTAGAAATGTCAGCAAAACAAAAAATGCCTGCCATCCTGAAAGCGAAGTTCAAAAGACGACTAACGGACCACAGAACCAAAGCGGCCGTGCCTTTTGGATCATGGCTGCTTTGGTCACATATACGCATGCTAGTGTTTTGTTTTTTGGTCAAGAAGAGAAGACGAATGAATTGTTGCAGGCTTTCTTTTAATACAGACGTCCTCTCTTTTCAAGCTGCGCTGCAGGCATGGCTCCCTTTTTCATAGGTAGAGGCAGCGCTGCGAGAGTTCATTTTGAGGCATCGGTGGATCTGATTTGGGCCTGGCGTGAGTGCAGTTAGACAGGCCACCATTTTAGCTTGTGAGCTGTCGGACACGAGGTCAATGAATGCTGTCAGCTCCTGAAATTCATCTTGTTAGATGTGAACTTCAACCACTGGCCGTGGAGCCAGTTTTCTGCTTCCTTTCTTGAAAAGGAAGGAAGCGCTCGAGTGGAGGAGAAATAAGGCATTTATCGCAAGTGCAATAGATTTTCTTCTCAAGTGAGTTGTGCCTTGACTTTCTTTCTTTTGTTTGTTTGTTTTTTTAATTGATGAATTTAAGCGGATGCACTGACAGTATTGAGAACTTCAAGTTGAATGGTGCTACTTTAGTTAGGTCTAGGCCCATGTACGTTGTGCCCATCAAGTTTTACAAAGTTCTTTTATTGCACATTTCGAGTTTTATATACGTGTCTTGAGTGCGCATGTCCTCAAGCTTCCAAATATTGTGTCAGGAGACCGGAGATACGCAGCTTGTTTACAAAAAGGGGAAGGGTTCTCACTATTTACCAGGATTTATTTGGGACCAGGGCGAATTTAGCAGTGGGGAATTTAGCTATTTGCACACAGATTTCTAGATTCTACTTTTGCTGCTAGTTTTGTGTAATTTATTAAGCATTTTTTGACAAATATTTATTTTTATAAGCCTCAAAGTGATTCTTTGAAAGTTTCAAGAAACTTGACCAAAAGACAATACCTAAACACTGGCACTTGAATGTTGAATGTCACCTGTATGCGTGAAAAATTTCTATATTTCGGGGTAGTGTGAGCTTTTTAATGTTTCAGACGTAATGGACTCGGTCAGTCTCCACAGCTGTTAAAGGCCTAACAGCAACACGTCGCTATGGAATTACTAATTGGCTCTCAAAATTAGAAACCGGAAAATAATGAAAATGGAAAAAGGAAAAGACATAAAAACATGCCAAGGTTTGGAAATCAAAAGTCATTATTAAAAAAAAAAAAAAGTTCAGTATCAATGCAAAAAGTGTCCAGATTCTCCAAATATGTGCTTTTTTTCTGTCCTGCAGATTGGCATTTGTTCTGTTGAATTTTTGTTTCTGTCAATGTCTGGCACATGGCAACCTGGAACATGTGGTTGATCTCTATTGTATTTACACACACGCATACGGCGACTCTGGTATTAGTCCACTCAGGAGAAGCTGCAAGTATCCACGCTAGCAATAAGTCTTAATGTGTATTGGAAAACACTGAAATCACACCCCAGCCCTCTCCATTCTGATGGGCCATTAGTTTGCTCCCTGAGAGGACACCAGAGCCCCTTAGATTTAGTATTTGCTTTATGTCGTAGCTTCTAGGCTCTGCACTGCATGAGACGACTCGGCTGTGCGTTTATTGTATGATTTTACCAAAATAAAAAGTTTCTGATGCAAAATTCCTTACAAATCAAGCATGGTTTCTTAAGTGTTTGATGTAGCCGAAATTGGGTCAATTATTGTAACGGCTGTTCTTAATGTGATTTAAGCTCGGTGGAGTTGTTTGACGTTTAGTTGATGCCAGTTTGTTTACAAAATAGAAATTTCTTCTTTACTTGGACAGTGTCCCTTGTCTTATTTCTTCTGCTTGCGTTGGGTGATTCTCAGTTTTTAATGATTCAAGTCTTAACCACTTGGACTAAAGTATGCATGTTGATGAATTGCCGTTCTGTGGGGGATGTTTTCATCCACTCTGGGGGATTTAAGTCTTAATTTGGCTACATCTTTCGCTGTTTCAGCAAAGGAAAGTATTTTTGATGACATCATAAATTGACACATTTTGGGAAAATGCTTTAAATTAAAAGAAATATAACCATGCACTGGGCAAATTGACTACCCTTTCATTATGTTCGTGGCTGCTTTTGCCCCATTGACTCATTATAATGACTTTTTGTTTGTTTTGTTTTTTTATTGCAAAGCTGTGACGCCATATAATCATGCATTACCAACAGGAAAAACCACCAACAATCAAGAATTCATGGTTAAATGCAGTCATGGATTTGCAATTAAAAAAGGTCATGATAATGGAGATCAATGGGGCAAAAAAAACTAGGAAGGATAAGGTAGTCAATATAAACAGTACATGAGGGTTAATACAAAACATGCATTTTCTTTGTAAAGCACCATTTTTAAAGAAAGACGTAGTTTAAACTGTACCTTGTGTATTAGTGTATTAAAAAGTGTATTAGTAACATTTTCCAATAATTACCAAACAACACAATAACAATAAAGAAACGCAAGAAATAAGCATGATACTACAAAGAAAATAATGGTAATAATAATTAAAATAAAGGAAAATAGATTATTCTTTTTGAAATTTTGACTAACCTTTTTTTATTTAAGGCAAGACAAGAACATTTTCAAGACAGGGGTGTCGCATCAAAAGTGAACTCTTCAGTCATATGATCTTGAACAGGGCATTTCAACTAATTAATTTTATTTCTGTGGAATTGTCTCATTTAAAATAGTCTTACCAGAGGACACTGTTTTCAGTGACACCTTCCTATGTTTTTAAAAATTAGGCCTGATGTCTTTATTAATAATTTGAACATTTTTCCTTTTTAATTTATAAGCTATTGAGACAGTCACACCATAGGACAGTTTTGAGGTATCTATCAGAAATGTAATACCACTGCAGTTTTTATAACGAGGTCCATAGAAAACAAAGAAATTGTGATATGATGTCAATACTAATTTATTCGTTTTTGTTGTGTGACCATGAAAATAATCACGTCACAACCCAAATACAGATTAATCACAAATGATTACATTTGAACTCTTTTACATCAAAAGTGGTGGTTAATTGAAAGTGTCTCAAAGTGTCAGGCAATAATGTTGTTTCACTGTTAAATATGAATAGTGCACCTGATCTTTTTTATGAATATTTTACTTCGTATACTTCTCACAGTAAAATATTTACTTTAAGATCCAATTAGAAGCTAAATAAAAGATTCTATTTGTTACTTGTTTTTGGGTCATATAAGTAATATTTATACGTTCGCCAATAACGTGCTCCTCAACACGAGAAACTCAAGGCAGGTTTGTTTATAGGTGCGTCCTTAATTGCTGTCTTTGCCAACTGAAAGTGCCCCTGTTGTCCACCATCCTGAAATCTCACTGGTGAAATAGATTCTAATGAAAGGTGTTAACATATTTGGCAGATGTTTCCTGAAAAGTTGACATTAGTTTATGTTAGCGTATCTGGCAGCCCCAGGTTTATATAAGGAGATTGCAGCCTGTAATCTGTATGTACAACTGAGGCCCAGCGGGTCATTTCTGCTCGCATTGATTTCAGAGTACTGCTTTAAACACTCCTAATCCCAGGATTTTTCTGCCATTAAGTGATGGCTTTCTGAAGGGGAGTGCTGATGTGTGCAGAGAAAAGCACAAACTGACTGATGGCACCTTTAATCCATTCATATTTCCACTTGGAGCGATGTGGTACAGACATAGGCATGTTGGCTGAACTGACGGATTTACTTCGGTGCACTGTGTGTCCAGGAGAAACTTTACTGAAGATGATCGGCAGGTAGGTCTTTTGGGGCATTTTGAGAATTTAAATTGAATGCTTTCAAATACAATCTTCCATTTTCTCTTTGTAACCGTATAAATGTCAAATTGTGACTTATATCTGCTAAATATTTCATGTCCTGCTAAATAATCACAGCTGAGAGAAGCCAGTGATGTGTTTCATCATCAATATTGCCGGTAAGTACATGATTCCTGCTGTTTTGATGCTAAAGGTTTGTTGTATTTCCATGACATGACTGACTGATCTTATAACTGCAAAAAAAAAAAAAAAAACTTCAATTCAGCTGATCTCAATAAGAACATCGTATTAAAGAATGTAATCAATTTACTGTACAGCATCTCTACTAATAGGAGGTCCGGGAACAAACAAGACCTAGTGTTTTTGTGTGATTTCTAATCTGCTCTTTTCTAATCAACATAAGTTTAATGTGCAGAACAGAGGGAGGCCACACATTAAATTATTCCTCCAGTCTGTGATTGTGTTCTCTGTAATCTTCCCATAACTGCTGGGAGAACGAGCACGACTCATTTGCAAAGTGACTGCTTATGCTGCATGGCTAGCGTTTTCTCTATCATTATAATAGAGTTCTGGTAGTTCCTTTGTAAAGTTCATTACAGGAATAAATCTCATCAATTCTCTGCAATAGACCACATACTTCCAGTGGAAACCAATGCTGTGCTATTTAACACAGATGCATCATTGTGGCTGTTTAAAGTTCAATGTGATGTGAATACACTGCTTACTTTTTAAACCTGAACACATTTACTGTCAGTGTTTGAACCTGGGCTATGCTACCCTACACTGCAAAACCCAATAAGTTAAGGTAACTAAAAGCATTTGAGGAAACCGATTGCAACAAATCATTTAAGCTCAAAAACTTTTCCTAATGAGTACTGTGAACTTAATCCATTTGAGTAAATGAAGCAATTTGAGCCCAGTAAAACCCAATAAAGGAAGAGAACTCAAAACAACTGAGTACTGCAAAACCCAAACAAGTTAAGGCAACTCAAACAGTTGGAGGAAACTGATTAGAACAAACTATTTGAGTTAAAAAATGAATCTATTTGAGTACTGTGAACTTACTCCATTTAAGTTGAACTAATGAGATATTTAATTACCTCATTACCCTCAACACTGACATCCAACCTCTTTTCAAATGTGTAGAATTAAGTTTCAGTCAATTTGTTTCATTTGATAAAGTTGACTTGGGTTTTACACTGTAGATCTGATACAAAATCTGTAAGCTTTATGTTTTTATGTTTTTAAGGGTTAATAAAAGATCTAAATTAACTGATAATGAGTTACATGAAAAGAGAATGCCTGTTCATTGATTTAGATTGTTTCTCAATAAACCACAAAACCTCATTGTGGCTAAAATTGACCAAATGATATAAGGTGTGTCACAAAAATACAAATAACTGCCAAAAAAAAAAAAAAAAAAAATAGGGAATTAGGGGGCACCAACCAATGCCAAGCAGTCTACATCAATCATGTAGCTCTTTCATAAATGTTCTATCATATGCCATTTCGAGCAAATCTTTCTATAACCATTAGGATTTAAACGTTATTACTTATTTTTAAAACCCCATACCTGGAATTGCTTAGGACCCCCAAATCACTAAGTCCGCCTCTGGTTCAGTTCACATATAGTCTTAGTTAAATGTGCTCAAGCTAGTTTTTTTTCCCTCAAAGTTATTAATTTAGTTTTTCTCTTAATGTGTTTTTTTAAAGTTTTTTTTTTTTTTTATTGCAAATGTAAATGTTTTTGGTATAACAATGAACACAGCATAATTCCTGTTTTTTAACCCACACATAAAAAAATGCACAATAGGGTGCTCAATCCTGTTCCTGGAGATCCACATACCAGCAGAGTTCAGTCCCTGTAATCATCACAATCTGTATTCCTCAACACTCAGGTCTGTTTGATCAGGATTGAGCTTTGCAGAAAGGTAGATCTCCAGCAGGTCTAACCTTGCTCTTTGCTCTCAGAGTTTTGCTAATTAAATAACCTTCACAAGCTAGTTAAAATCTGTGCCATGACTAGAAATCTACAGGAAAGCAAGTTTGATCAGGTTTGGAGTTTAACTCCAGCATTGCCTACTCCTGATCTAACACATCTACGTTCTGTTTTTTCCCCAGTGTATTTCCTCCTCCTCCCTCCTCATGCCCTGTCCCTGTGGGCTTGCACACGCTCCTGCCCTCCCACTTGCACATGCACTCAGGAGAAGAGTTGCAGTGTCCTGTGTGATCACGTTAACATGATGGACCTGCCCAAAGAGTTCCCCTGCGAGGCATCTTCCATCAACCTGGACAAGAACAGCCTCAAGTTTCTGTCTGAACGGGCATTTGGCACACTGCCCTCACTCAAGACACTCTCACTTAAATACAACAACATATCCTTCATCACACCGGGAGCATTTAAAGGGCTCCCCAACCTGGTTGAGCTCAAGATGGCCCACAATGAGTACATCCGTTACCTGCACACTCGTACCTTCACAGCACTCAAACGTCTGGTGCGCCTGGATCTTTCCGATTGTAACCTGTTTAACATGCCAGATCGCATCTTCCTGGAGCAAATCACCCTCAAGGAGCTCCTGTGTTTCCAAAACAACTTTAGACGCGTTCCTGGTGCCCTACGGGGAATGGAAAACCTCACACATGTTTACTTGGAGCGTAATAAGATCGAAGCAGTGGCTTACAACTCGCTGTTGGGCCTAACCAGTCTCAAGTACCTCAACTTGCAAGAGAATCGCATAAATGTAATACATGATGAGGCCTTCAAAGATCTAATCCGTCTGGAGAACTTCTACCTAAATGATAATCTCTTGGTTGACTTGCCCCAGCAGGCTTTTAAGGGTCTAAGCAACTTGAAAATGTTGAATCTTGGTGGCAATCTGTTGACCAATGTCTCCAAAACATGGTTCAGTGACCTGGTGGAGCTGGAGGTACTGTACCTGGATCGAAATCGCCTCTCTTATATAGAGGATGGTTCCTTTGAGAACTTGACAAGCCTCATCACGCTGCACCTCAACAGCAACAATCTGACATCTCTGCCTTTCTCCGTCTTCCAGCCCATCTATTTCATCGGCCGTCTATATCTTTTTCGAAACCCCTGGGAGTGTACCTGCGACCTGGAGTGGTTAAGGGAGTGGATGGAGAGTTATAAGTTGGTGAGGGACATCCCGTGCGCGTCCCCATCCTCCGTAGCTGGCTTGGACCTGAGCGAAGTTGTGTTTGCTCACTTGAACAGCACCTGTCTGGATCCCCCGGAGCTCAACATGACCACATCTCTTCCTGACTACCCCACCGTGGAGAACAAGTTCAACAGTCTCATCTCCAAACTGCTACAGCAGGAACTGAGGGATGAGATGGTCAACATCACAGACAGTCTGAGGAACGGCACACAGCAGGACCCTGCTGAGAGTCAGGTTTCTTCTGCACATGGACTGTTCGGTGCTTCTCAGACTGTGTTTCTACTTGTGGTTCTTTTCCAGGCCCAGTTTGACTCCATTAATGCCTCTTGAGATTCTAATGAATACCAAAAGGGGTTGAAGCGCATCCAAGAGTGGAAGTAATTTTCCAGTAGTTTGGATGGGAATGGATTTAAGGCTGTGGTGAAACGTTTGATGTGTCTTGCCATGAGCCCTGTGTTTTCTCATGTTGAAAATGCAATTCTGGCACATGAAGCTGGAGATGAATGTCTCCTTAAATGAATGGAAACTGCTCTCGAAGAGAAGAATGTTAACCAGTTATTGTCTACAAGACTAATTCTGGACAATAATGAAAGAACTGTTAAACGCATCTGAAGGCCATTTTGTGAGAACTGAGACTAATGGCATGAACGCTTTTATATTCTAGCATTTAATTCTAAACACTTTGATAACGCATCTATAGTATGAATATGTTTGTACATGTTCTGTTGCGTAACTGTGTAACATTTGTTGTGTAGGAGATTTATCTGATAAAGCTTCTCAATATCATTTCACCAGATGGCACAACACGCTGTCCTCTTTTGTTTGGTTCACTGAGCTGGGTAAGTTTCCAGTTCTGGAAAATGCATTAGTCCTCCTATTCCGTAAAGCTTAAGTGCACTCGGTAACGTAAGCTGCTTCATATTGTAACCAAAAAGATTGGCTTCATCATGGTGTTTTACTGTTATGATCGTGTTTCTTCTCTATGCAGAGCACAATATGCACAGGTGGATGATGTCATACTCTGAGCCATGATATATATGTATATGTAAGTGCATGTACCCATGTGATGTGCATCTATAATGGTTTTTGTTTATTTGTGATTGAGCAGTACTTTAAATAAACAAAGATTTTTGCATAAATAGTCAACAAAATGACTCCTATCCAAGTGCAAGAGACTTGAAAATGGGTTGCCAGCCACAGCATGTCTATTATTAGCTTCATATGAAGTGTGTGTGTGTGAATACATTTGTTCAAGATCAGTCTTGCAGCACTGGCCATTTGACACTCAGATGAACTATGTGCATAGTGTTGTAAAACTCAAATGTCATGTTAAACTTGCCTCAGAAAATGTTTTTATTAAGTTTAGTTACAATTTTGAATGGAGTGTGAGAAGTTTAAGAATACACTCTTATGGTACTGCAGTAGCCAATAAATGCTTGTGTCGCGATATTTTTTATTTTTTTAAAAGATGAGTTTTTAATTTAAAATTTCACTTAAACTTTGGTTCTTTCCTGCTCTCATTTTCAGTTCTGATGAAAATGTTTATTCATCATTGCAACACAATGTTTGTGTACAGTTATGGCTTTTCCCATGTTTAATCCTGGGCAATTAATGTTCAAAAGATCGCTTTTTACTCGAATATGGAGGATCGCAATTTAATTAGTCGCTATAATAATAATAATAAATAAAATTTCAAGTTTTAAGTTATTTATTCTGAGCCTGTTAATAAGACATGAGGTTCAGCAGAAAGTCTAAATAATGGTGCATATACTGAAAAATATATTGTGTGGGATTTTTCTTGCTAGTTATCAGTTTTGAATGCTGAACGACTTTCTTTAGTCAAATGCCACAGCTGGTGACATTATCCAAAAGCTTCATCTCATGGTTGAAACACTGTTTCACTGGCTATTATACCTTTAGAAACAATCAATTCAAAATGTTGTACTGTTTCTTTTATACCTTACAATGTTGAATATTCATACATGTTTTTCTATTTTGGTATAGATTAAAGATTGGTAAAGATTGTTCCATGTCCGACATTAGCCTAATGCCTGAAGTTAATTGATATGGTAATTTGGTCTTCAAAACATACTGTATGCACCTGCTCAGTTTATGCGTTTTTTCCAGGTTGGATAGACAGCGATCTGATTTCTGTAAATGTTCCATTTATATTTGATCACATGAATGCATGACTGTATTTAACTAGGTTACGACAAATACACCTGCACTTTTTGTAATTTATGAAAGCGTAAGCGACATGTCTTATTTATTCATTTTCTTTTGGGCTGAGTCCCTTTATTAATCTGGGATCGCCACAGCGGAATGAACCACAGACTTATCCAGCATATATTTTATGCAGCCCATCCAGCCACAACCCATCACTGGGAAACACCCATATACACTCATTCACATACATACACTCTGGACAATTTAACTTACCCAATTCACCTTTACCACAGGTTTTTGGACTGTGGGGGAAACCCACGCGAACATAAGGAGAACATGCAAACTCCACACAGAAATGCCAACTGACCTAGCCAGGGCTTGAACCAGCAACCTTCTTGCTGTAAGGCGATTGTGCTACTCACTGCACCACCAAGCGGATGTCTTATTTGCATACAAATTATTTTAGATTCAGGCTGCAAGTTATCACAAGTGCACAATGCAAACTCTGATTAGTATCATTAAGGCAGAATAAAACACCTTCTGTTAAATATGTGCGAGACCCCATTAAAACTGTTAAGTGTTTACATTAATTTGTGTATAACCTACTTTCTACTAAACAACTTGCCTTTGTAAACTAACAAATCAGTATGTGTTTTTTACATTACATTTGACATTTTTTACATTATTTCCAGTATATGTACTCTGTTGTTAATGCTGCCATTTGACATCAAATTAACATTTTAATTTAAAAAATAAAATATTTGTAAAAAATGAAACAAAAATCTCAAACGGTCAACATTTATGCATTTGGACATTTATCTGTCAGTCATATAGACCAGTGTTTCTCAACCACGTTCCAGGAGGACCATCTGCACATTTTCCATGTCTCCCTAATCAAACACACCTGATTCAGATCATCAGCTCATTAGCAGAAATAACTGAAATGGGTGTGACAGACTAAGGAGACATCTAAAACATGTTGTGCTGGTGGTCCTCCAAGAACTGATACAGCCATTACACCTGTGCTTTTACTTAATTTTTTTTTTTTTTTTAAATTTTGAGAGTAATATCTAGATAGGTGGTTTCAACAACCACTAGATGCTTTCAAGCCTGTCCAGTTACGCCTGGAAACCACATCCTGAAGTGGTTTGAGCATCTCTAACGTTAATATCTTTTAAAAGGCATTTACACTTTTATTAAGAAACACGCATGAAGACGTATTGGCTACTACAGCTAGCTCTCATTTAGCCATTAATGAAATTCGAATAACTATAAAAATAATATCTATCTAAATGAAATAAAAACAAAAACACGATTTTGTTTTCGTTATAACTGTTGGGGAAGGGCTGGGATATCTGGTCAAACGTTTCCGTGAGCTATCTTTCAGATTTGATTTTTATGGAACCATCAAAGGTTGTGTATAAATCTAAACTGTAGTTTTACTATTTGAGCGAGAAAAGTGTCAAATAGTGATGGGAAATCAAGAAGTAAGTTCAGGATAGCAGTTTCTTTCTTACCTTTATCTGCACTGCAGCGTCTGTCCATTAAGGATGTCAGGCGCTGCCCTCGCCTAATCAACGACACATATAGGCTATGCTAATTAGCTTGTTGACGTGTTGTTTAGGATTTTAGTGTGTATTAACGGCAGTTTTCGAATACCAGCAATTTATTGTTAGCCCTGGGTTAAATAACCAAGAATTCTGCTTATTCAGTGGTGAAAAATCCTCCGATAAGCTAACTGAGGAAAAATTTTCAAATGTGGCTTCTTGGTTGTTTTTCATTTGAATTGGTTAATGAGTCAGCATTAACGTTACAAACCTCTGTTATTAATTATGACTGAAACCGAAATATGACAAAGCTTCCATCAGAAGGAAAGCAGAGTGTGAGCAGGTAAAAATTGAGATGTTGAAAGATGATGGCGCGTGCTGCTCTTCTGTTTTGGGCCTAAACATAATCGGCTTTGCTGTATGACAGTTTGTGTGTAAAACCAGTGCTCAAGACATACAGCGTGAGAAACACGAGTTCAGCGGTTAGGTCTAGATATGGATAAAGCTGCGGATACGTACATCAAGATAGCATAATTTTTTTTTACACTGTAAACAATAATTAATATTTTTTTACTGTACTGTGAAGGTTGGGTTTTCGACTAGGCTTTAATAAAACACAGTTTATTGGGTGATTGGGGAAGACGTTAAGTAACACACAATTAATGGGAAATTTAACAAATAATATAAATAATTCTCGTTAACTTCGGTCCGCAACCGTATCTGGTCTAGCAACAACCATGTTCAGTCTATTCATTCTAGCTCAAATTCACTCTAGCTCTACCAAATATAAAGCAGCACAATTCTTTGGAAGATTGATTAGAATAATTAAAGTTAATAGAGAATAAAATAAAAACATAACCATGAAGGATGGCACTGGAGACTGGAGTTTCATTCATTCATTAATTTTCCTTCAGCTTAGTCCCTTTACTAGTAAAATGAACTGCCAACTTATTCAGCATGTTTTTTTACATAGTGGATGCCCTTCCAGCTGCAACCCATCACTGATAAAGGAGACTGTTTTTATGCTTAAAATCGCAAGAAATTAAAATACCTATTATATATATATATATATATATATATATATATATATATATATATATATATATATATATATATATATATTATATTTGTATATTTGTGTGTGTGTGTGTGTGTGTGTATATATATATATATATATATATATATATATATATATATATATAATATTTGTATATTTGTATTTGTGTATATATATATATATATATATATATATATATATATATATATATATATATATATAATATTTGTATATTTGTATTTGTGTATATATATATATATATATATATATAGAGAGAGAGAGAGAGAGAGATTAGTCAGCACTGAAGCCAAATCTGAAGCTTATCTAACAAAATAACATACGATAATGGTCCAAAAACGAGTACACACAAATTTATATGTTATGGAAAATATTAAATAAGAATTTAAAAAAGAGAAGCAAAAAAGAGAAAGTAAAAAATTTAGTTGAAATTTAGTTGGTTTTAATTATTTTACAATATTAAGCTTGAATTTAATTGTATTTTCTTTTAATATTTAAATATGTTTGGTGACTAAAATACTATTTGATTAAATAGATCCGTTTAATCAATCTGTTTTGTTTAAACGCACCAAAACACATTGCCTATATTCAGTGAGAAATGGATACAAATATATATTTTCCAAATGGGCTGTACTCAATTAAGCTGAGCACTGTATTTAAAAATACTTCAGACGTCCAGAATCAATGGTCAAGAAAAAAAGAAAAAACACTCTGCGTCGCTCTCAGACACATAACTGGGCATTGATCTCGACTGCAGTCACACAGAATCAAGCTGGCAGGGCGTGACCCGCCACAGCTGCTGGGAAAAAATCCGGAAAAACAAAAAGGCCAAAGAGGAACGAAAAATTTCCATTGGCCCCATCTCTGCCAACTCACACCGAGAGCTAGGCTGAGCAAAAGAGCTGGATGAGAAAACAGCAGAGGACACCACATCTTCACCACATAAAAGGAAATATATATTTAAAAAAGAAAAGAAAAGGGAAAAAGACACACTCATACCGAAGAGCTGCTCTGTCATCAATAGAGCCGTTTTCACAGGGCAGTTTGAGGAAACAGTTTTATCATATACAGAACCATTGAGATGAACAGACCGCGGCCTCATTCTGCTGCACAGAATAAAAATCTGATTTCGTTTTTAACAGTAATACTCTCAAACAACACACTTCTGAAATGCCAGTATTCATTTTCAACCCAAAGCCCATAAATCTTACAACAAATAAAAATTTAGACCATTTACAAACACATTTTACTACATAATTGGTAAAAATAAACTGTTTACAAAGTTGCCAAAATGCAAGGGATGTGCATAGGTCTTTTTTTTCCCTCCTGGTCACCGGCTCCACCTGTTTGAATGTGTTCGTCCCGCCGAATGGAATGTTTTCTGCTGTGGGTGACAGTCTGGACACAGCTAACACTGAACGCTCGTGAATGTTCACATGCATGAGATCTCATTCAAATCTCGAAAACATTTATGCACGTCTTTAGAGAGACAGTATCCACGTGTAGAGGAGGGCGGATTGGGAAAAGTAGAAAGAAAAAAAGTGTGTTTAAAATGAAAGCTGAATCGGTGGGTTGTGCTAAAGCTAAAGCAGCTGGGGTCTGCCGCATGGATAATGTGGGATTATGTATTATGGCTGAGTTAATGGACGGGCTGGACAGATGAAAGCTACGAGGATTCTGTCGGAGAAATATTATGACCAGAAAAACGAGCAGAACCACAGGAAAGGAAGTCAAGTAGGATACTGTCTCTTTAAATCCAACGTCAACAAAATGTTGCCTCCTAGCTATATAGACATGACAATATTTAGTAATTTATTTTATTGATCTTTTTTTTCATTAATACAACACTACGTCTAGGTAGTCTGTGAGGGGCCAAGACTGGGCTCACTGCAGGTACATCGATGTTGCTGAATGTCAGAGGTGGGCTTCTGTTTGCATCATGGGAAACTTTTCAAGTTTTGTTTTGTTTTCTTGCAGAGACGCACTGTTTAGTGTGAGGTTATGAAGGGCGTAAGGTTACAGGTTGATGGGCTTGCTGTTTTAGTAGACCCAGGACACCGGAACCCACTGGGCGGTGCTGCAAACCATGTCTATGGCTTCCTCCAGGAGGCGGATGGTCTCGTCAATTTCATTATTGATGATGGTTTGGTCAAAGTAATGTGCATATGTCTTCTGGAGGATCTCAGACTCCTTCTGCAGCCTCTGTAGCGACTCATCCTACAGCGCAAAAGAAAAAGAGTGAGTATAAGAGCCAAAAATGGGCCTTTTAGGACATTCGGGATAGAAAGCGGGTAAAATCGGACCCTGTGGCCATTTAAAGGGGTTATATGTTTGAATGTATTAATAACTAGGATGTCTTTGAAATCCTGCACACTGATTTTTATGTGAAGGACATTTTTGGAAGAAAAAGTAAAGCTTGTGACACTCTCCCCTGTTCTATGATATGGAAGTGAATGTTTTTTTTAATATAGTTACTTATTTTTGTTGCACAATATATTTCTCGTTGCTTACCACCAGAGTCAAATAGACTTAGGTTTTGCATAATTTTAGAAAGCATAAGTTTTGCTACGGTTACGCCTTCTGTCCACACTAGCCTGGAGTTTTCAAGCCCTGAAAATCTAGCATTTTGGAAACGCTGAAAAGGCTATTCTGATTTTAAAACGCTGCTGCTTTGTGTCAGTGTGGATGGGGGAAAATGGAGACATCTGAAAACGGAGTCGTTGTTGCAGACATTCGCCTATCTGATTGGGCCTTTTTCTCAATATTATGTACACAAAGTTCAGTCTTGCATCCTTTCCTTTTATGTTTAGACTTCACAAGTTTGATATGGAAAACAAACTCCCAAGGACACATCAGGTAAATCTTCAAATGGAACGATATACTTTATAACTTCATTCACATCACCCTGGTTACGTTGTTTAAGAATAAAATAAAAACATGATATAAGGAGCTGCCTATTTTCATTTTGATTATAGCTACATATTTATATGACCGTCATCTTCACTGTATGCATAATTATAACAAAACAGAGCCTATAACATAACTGCATCCGTTAATTTTCATTGAAAAATATGAAACCCACCCTGTCTCCTTTGCTGAATATCAGTTTTAATAATCAATAATGGCTAATATAAAAGTATAACATCTAATAAGTTTATAAAATGTTGTAAATATAGGCAAGCAATCAGTCAAATAGGCCAAAGCAGAGTACGTGGTTACATAAATTGATATATTAACTTGTTCTCAGGTAAAGTGTTTTGGCTAAGCACAAGTAATAGATTTAAAAGACAGAAGAGTCTTTAGATAAAGACAAGATTAATTAGATATCACGTTTAACAAATATAGTGGGAACATAGACAGTGAAAGATATGGACGTAGTATCCGTGACGTCACCCACAGGTTTATGAAGAACCCAAAGAGAGCTACCAGTAGGCGTGGCCAACCGTCGCCATTTTGTTCGCAATTCATCGCACCAACGAGGGCATAACAAATAAGGGCGAAGAGGCGGAGCTACAGACACGGTTAATATTTCATTACCTGCGACTCGTTTGTGTTCTGACCACATGTGCTTGGTTATAGACTTTATCAATAAAGTGTTTAGACTTTTAAAAACACTATTGTAACACATTGTGCCACTAAACATTGTTCTTATGACGTTTTTTAACAAGAGGAAAACGCAAATTACATCCAAACACTTATCAGTCTGCGTTAGTAAATGCAAGGCTGCAAAATACAGATGAAATCCAGGCATAACACTGTATGACAACACTTCAGATGATTGTTCTAGAGCCTACAGCTAATAAATCTGTCAGATTCTGGAGTGCATTACAGTTCTAAATAAAAATAAAAATGATGAATGATCTGAAATAAAACAAACACAATGTGGGAGGTGTGCTCAAAGCACCCGCTGACTGCCTAGAGCTCAGACGTCTGCATAGGCTGCAGTGCATACCAGAGTGTGTGTGGTCCCGTGATGTGCGTTTTTCGCAATGTAGTGTGGACAGAGATCTTTTCAGAAACACTAAGTGAAAAGCCAGTGTGGACGCCGATTGTTTTAAAACTAAAACATAGTGTAATCAGGGCCTGACTCAGTGATGCTCTTATTACTGTATCCTTCTGGGCCTTAAAAGTGAAGTTGTAGAGGCAGAAAACCATTCAATTTGAATTGAAATGCATTCAGTTGTGTTCTGAGGATGAAAAAAAAAGTCTGAGGTGTATGGAACATTATGAGGATGAGTAATTAATGAGAGAACATTCGGGTGAACTATCTCTTAAAAACTGCAGTAGACTTAACACCCATTGCTAATAACAAGGGTTTGAGAATTCCACATGTACAACTTTACATTCAACCCTTTTGATCCCTAAAGTACATGAAGATCTATAAACAGGGCATTAGGCAGTAGGGAATGATGGAACTTGTTTATATATACACTACTGTTCAAAAGTTTGGGGACAATAAAATTTAATAATGTTTTTAAGCAATATCGCTTACGCTCATAGGGTCTGGATTTATTCGATCAAAAATACATGAAAATACTGTGAATTTATTTAGCAATTTAAAATGTAAAACAGTCTTCGATTTTTTTTTTAAGTTGACTTTATTTCTGTGATAACAAAGCTGAATAGTCTGCATCATTACTCCAAGTTTTTAGTGTCCCACAATCCTACAGAAATCATTCTAATAACATTTAAAAACACTTTACATTTTATGAAGCATTATAAAACTATTTATTTTTGTAACATTATAAATGTTTTTGCTGTTAAATGTGATCAATGCAATGCATATTTGCTAAATAAAAGTAATAACTTCTTTTATAAAACTAAACTTTTGAACAGTAGTACAGCTCCGACAGGTAATGGAACAGGGTTTTCTTAAAAACAGCCAACTGTCCGTTTGACCTTAGCTACAGAGGTCATGAATGGAGGTATTTTGGGATCTAAGCTGACAGCCTCATACTCACAGGCAGCTTCCTGCACCATCTGGGAAGCTGAGCGAGATGTAGGGAAAGGTAGAAGAAATTAAAATACATGCTAAAACACGATGCATGCAAAACAGAAAACAGATCAGCTGAAGACAAAGAAGGAAAGAAGTTAGATGGAGTTATTCTGCCAGTGAAGTGACTCATGCCGTGGCCTTTTGAGAAGTCCATGTATTTTGGATTCTGATCTCACCTCATTCATGCCAGGAGTGATAGTTGGTGCAGCTATGAAAACCACATAGGGAGCAAATTCAGCTGTCCGTAAAACCTTCAGTGCCTGAAGAGAATCAAACAACACAAGACTAAGGAATGCATTACATTCTTAAGCCAGCATAAAGAGTGTTGCTGTGCTGTGCTGAAAACCCCATAGCGCCTTTGTGTTGCTGATCACAAAATCTAGGTCTTTGAAATAAACACCAAAAACCAAAGCATATTTCTGGAAATCCATTAATGGTATTGCATAGCTAAAATGATCAACAAGGTTACTGTATGAGCAACTTCTCTCATTAAAAATCTCTAAACGTTCACCTGTGGCTCTACGTCCAGTATGGCTATGAGTCCCTGCTCATGGATTTTGCGTATCGTCTCCAGCCGTGTGCCGTACATCGCGTCCTCGTGGCTGCCGTACTCCAGGTAATCGTTGTTGGAGATGTCCTGCATCATTTGGTCATGTGAAACAAAGAAATAATTCTTGCCGTTCTCTTCATCTTTCTTTGGAGGTCTGGTTGTGTCTTTTGGAGCAGAAATAAGTTTGTGTTTACCCACTGATCAGGACTGGTGCACAATAATAAAGATTTTGAGAAAGCTGCTTACGTGGAATGGGATAAGCAAATCTGTCTGGGTGTTTGGTGATGAGTGTGTTCTTGATGTGTCTTCGGCCAACACCGTGAGCACCTGCCGGTCAGCAACAAACCATGAATGTAAGAGACGTGTGCTTTATGACAACAAGCAATGATTAAGAACTCTGATCAACATACTCACCTAGTAAAACTAATGTTTTCCTCTTGAACGCCGGCAACTTCACTACCTCCTCATATGTGACAAGATCTAGTTGATCAAACACTAGAAAAAACAAAGATTGTTATTTAATAGAGAGGAAGAATTGATTGTAAATATGTGGTATGTGGTTATTTAAATAAAAAAAGAGAACAAAAAGAGAGTTTTTTGGGGGGTAACGCCATTAGTAGTGTTTGGGTTTTCTCTCAGACTATGAGGACTGTGTGCATGTGTTTTGGCTGCTTATGCAAAGTTACAGGCCTGATGGGTGATTTGATATGGTGTCTGACTGTCATCAATCTCCACTGCAGCATGGAGGCTTCATTTATCGCTCTCTTCCAATGCAGCACACAGAGAAAAAAACATTCACACTCAGCCTATTCAAACCTGTCACCAAAATCAACCTCGGAGACATTTCTCATGCTCCTTTTCTCTATTTTTACTTCATTTTTATTATAATTTCAGTCAAACTAAAATTCAGTTCAACAATTTCAATACATTCAATATTTATTTTTTTTATTTTAATTCACATTTACAGAGCTTTTTAGTACAGAGCATTTGTTGAAATCTAAGAAAAATCATATAAATTACACTAAATTTGTTAGATGAGTAGAAAGTTCAGACATTCATTTGAATAAAATTCTAAATTTCTATGAAAAAATTGTGATTATTGTGATCTAAAATAAAGGTTAATACTAATGCATCTTCTGGGCATGCACAATGAGATTTAAAAGCTACAAATGAGATTGAAGATTATCAACTTTATTTCAGTCATCACCTGAGATTAAGACTACAGCAAACTTGGTTGTATGTTTACATCAATAGACTGAGGGATGTAAACAATAAAAATGGTTCTACCGTATTTTCAGTTGTACATTTTTAAATTTCAGAGTCCAAAAAGTTCCACAAATTAATAAATAATGTTATGACAGCAGTTTTAATGTTAAGCTATGAATGAATTGCCCCTTGTTACAGTTATCAAATGGTTTGACAACAAACAGGAAATGTTCGTGGGCCAATAACATGACCACATTGAAATGGTCTATTGTTATTTGCAACCTAGATGCTAACTGAAGAGTAAAAAAAAGCTGCTGACTATGTTCTTTTGTGTTCCTAGGCAGGTACATGCCATAAAGTTATGGAACAACATGAGTCAGACTAAATGATGAAACAAACCATTTTGTTTTTGTCTATTACCTCTATAAAAGGGCTGCACAATACATCACTTCAGCATCGATATTGCAATATTACCATTCGCAATATTTGCGAGGATAAGCAATGTTGAGTCTAGATTGTAAATATCATTTCAAGTGTTTTTTGAGGCCTGTGACTGAGTGAGGGTTTTAAAAGCATTCAGGCCTAAGAAATTGTACCATTTGTAACTTTGACAAATTAAAATTACTATACATTTGAATACAGATTTATTCATTGGACAACAATAAAACGTTTATATAATTTGTACATTATTTTTCTTAAATTTATCTACGCTTGTAGATTTTCTCTTATAGTTTATGCATGTGTACTCCTCTACAGAATCATCCCAATAAATCCTAAAGGATACATTCTTTCCAAATAGTTATCCAACTCATCTAATGAAATTGTGCTCATATCGTAATGTTAAGATTTTTCCAATATTGTGCAGCCCTATCCTATAAGTATCAACAAAATGAGATGTCGCCATGAAAAAATAGGCCTCAAATAACACTCTTTGCACCACATTGATCGACAAAATATATTGCAATTGTGAACATCCACATACATCTTTTTTTACCAGAGTGTCTCAGTTGCATAACCAGTGAAACTGGCTGCAGTGTGCATGCGGGGGTGTGAGTTGGGGAGAAAGCATGCGTGTTTGCAGAGACGGTGAGTTGACTTGGCTGACAGAAACGTGAGCCATCTGTGTCATTTCCACGTGAAATGTGATTCCAGCACTCATCTCCCTCTCTGAATAGATGCCTTAAATGATTCATGCTCCTCTTTGCTTTGACCTCGAGTCTAAATATGTAGGATGCTTAATGGATTTGCACACACACAGAAGCCTGAGGATCAGTGAATACAGACATAACTAAAAACACAAAACCATAAACACCACACCAACATTCAAACACACTGAAAAAGATCTTTGTTCTGTTGACAAATAACAGGGAGGTTGCTAATAGACAAAGATGCTTTCGGGGTTCATGAAAAATCACCAGCACAGAATGACAAAGACAGACAGAGAAACAAAGAGAACTGAGCACAGACGCTGTTTGCCACAGCATTACAGTTACTTACATGCACAGAGGCCATTGGTAGATAGACAGCATGTAAAATGGACAGGGGAGGGGGGTCATTGAGTTATGACTCAGTTAACAGAACATCAGTAAAACAAATACAACATCAAGCACGCTCAAAGCTGTGATGCTGGAAGCACAGAGACATGATGGCCATCCGTGAGCGCGGGCCGCTCTGGATGGGGCGCTTTCAGAGCGTACGAGACATCGTTGCAGCTCTGAACAATGAAACATGCCTCTAACATACACAGCGACGCACTTGCATATCAAGTCTGGAATCTGAAAGCTGCAATAAAAGTATGCCATTAAGAGATTTTTTCCCGTTAATCTTATAATTGCGAGCATAGCCATGTTCTATAGCATTAAATCTATACATTTCGACACATGCGGACATATTACATAATCAAGTGATAATGGATCATCTTGGTTCTTGGATAATCCGGTGAATTAAAATCTTGACAAATGAAAGACAACTTAAGTGATTCAATTATTTTCTATTTTTATCTTAGCTTAAGAGAGACAAAGGTTTTGTATAGGTTATATAAATGTTTAAAAAAACCCTATGAAAATTATTTTCAATATTTCTGTGCACACACACACATATACATAGATGTATATATATATACATACATATAAATATATAGTTTACTTTTCAAATGTTTGGGGTCTGTAAGATATACGCAAAACAAAGCTGCAAATAATTTGGTATTATTATAAGTATTATCATAAAAGCAATTAAAAATAAGTTTTGCTTGTAATGCAACACAAAATTTTGTGTCTCTGCAATGGGTTATATGCGCAGCTAGTGTTTTTCCACCAACGATAAACTTCTGATGAACGGTTTATGTGATATTATTAATTTCATACAATACAATCAGTTAAAAAGACTAAAGCATTTATTTAGTTGTTGGAGCGGAAGACGTGATGAAAGACCATGTAAATGCAAGCACCTTCAGTAGCAGCAGGCGAGTGCAGAAACTCCACTGAAAATACTAGAGTAAAATAGATATTCATATTTTAAAGACATGGCGAGGAAAAATGGAATTTCATTCTGTGCTTTTTGCTGATATGGCAATTTTGTAATGGCAGTTCACCAGAAGCGCTTGGGCTGGCTGACTGAAATTTAAAAGTCTGTGTGCATCTACCACATTAAGGTAGTTTCTCTGTACCCTTTTCAGAAAAAGGCAGGGCTCTGACATTACTCTGACAATGACAAACAATGCATCTGCACATGTTTTAAAGCCCTAAAATCAAGTATAAATTCCTGAATCTTTATACTGTATATACGGTTTCTGCAGCACAGACAAAAACGCAACACTGAATATTTATTTTTTTAATGTAAACTGGGAAAGAAATCTCAAGTGTATCATTATATTAAATCTGTGTAACTGTGTCTCTTGGACATGGTGACAGCACACAACTAACAACCAAGCCTGGTCCCCTCAGGCAGGATTTTTTTTATGTACTATATTTGGACAAGAACTTTCCCAGGGGAAAATTTAGGACTAAAATCAAGGTGTTTGAGGGGGTTCAAAAACTGTTTGCAGATAATATAGAAAATAATTTTGTGCTTGGCAACTTTGCAGATCTTTTTCATTCAATATTAAACAATATAACCTGAAAGTAAGCCAGGAACATTTTAATAAATCCTGCTGACCCCAAACTTTTGAATGGTACCATAAGTTCTGTGTATGTTTATTTGTTTTTTCTTATTATATGTTTTAATAAGAACTGAATCCCATAATTTTATATTATTTAGGCATATATTATGATAAACGTAACATGAACAAACCTGTCCGAGATCAAATAAAAACAGTCTAGGAGGTTTTTGAACTCACAATATAAAGTGGATTCAGAGAATGTGTGTCAATGCTGAAACAAGGATGAAACAGTGTAAAGGGCGGGGCTAAAAGGACATCTAAATTGTACACACATTGAGCTAATCCACCAGTGACCCCTTTCTGCTTTCACAAAAAAACTGAGAAACACTTCTGCCCTGCCACGTCTCTAAATAGAAATGTCCTAATAAACCTGTTGCTGCAATATTTCTTTTGTCTTGCGTCCAACCAAAATGAAAATCTCCTTCTAAAGGACAACTGCTTCCTATTAGAAAACCTCCAACCATATGTTTCCAGTTTCCCTCCATAACCTGTTCAGGACCTGTACTTTATAATTGGAAAAGCTCAAAGCACAAATCCAACAAAGCCATATGTCTTAGACATACCACACATAATCGGAACAGTTTTACATTATTAAACAATCCTAGAGGAATTCATGACAAGACTTGGGGTAAAAAGGCTATAATACCCCGAAGAGTCCCATTTCCTGCCTCTCTGGCTGAGTGAGCTCAAATCAGACTCAGTAAAGTGGGGCACTGGGCTCAGGAGGGATTATGTCTGATCTGTGCTCCCCGCCGCCGCCGCGCTCAACACAGACTGTTTGATCACCTAAGTGATTGGGTGCTCAGAGAACACTGTGATTCCAGCAGCCCACATCTGATCACATCTACTATCAGCTCTTCTGAGGCCAGAAACACTTCATACGCCAGCAAAAGGGGAAATGCAGATTTAAGATTTTGATCACACATTTAAGATGCACTGCTGGCTGCTTTGCTAACTTTAATTATGCTTGACTGTGTTCAAACCGACCACCATATCAGTATAACAGAATAATTAACTTAGCCAAGCAACAGGTTGAGCCAGGGGTTTCAAAACTAGAGACATGGGAATACCAGGGGTCACTAGATAGCTTGCTGGTTAAGTCTTTCTGCAGATATTTAGAGTAAGTAAGTAA